GCCAAATAACATGTGCATAATAGTGCGGAGTATTATTAGTACTTTATAAATTTACATGCGTTTTTTTAGAAATCGGAACAACCGTAAATTACTACTTCCGGTCAAACGGAAAATACTCTAAATTTCACAGAAGGTAGAAAATTAGATCTTTTACTTATATATGAAATTTCATTTATCTATCTAAAATAGTACTCAAGTTATAGGCTTTTGAAAAATTCAAAGTAGAAAAAGTTCAACTTCCGGTTATCGGAAATCGCTCAAAAGTTGATACGGATCTACGAATAATATTCCGCACTACTATGCACATATAAGAATATTCGAGAAAGTTTATGGGAGATCCGTCCCTGTTTATTTCTTAGTACTATAGAGTTGCATGATTAAAAACTATTGTGCACCAAATGAACATCAAAAATATAATAAACAGTTATTTTAATTACCATTTGTTTAGTGATTTTAGTGCTTATTATTCTGTAATTGTAATTTCAAAATACGTACACATCGCTCTTAAGACAACATTGCAAACAAAACATTGTAAAAACGTGTACAATTATTTTTATTGATTTAATGTGACGCATACTAAGTAAAGTGTGATGGTAGTGTCGCTAACGGATGATGGTTGAGTAGCTACCACATGATTTTGGAGTAGCTACAAGATGATGGTGGAGTAGCTAAAAGATGATTGTGAAGTAGCTGACAGATGGTGGTGAAGTAGTTGATAGCTGATGGTGCAGTAGCTACCACATGATGGTGCAGTAGCTTCCACATGATGGTGGAGTAGCTACCACATGATGGTGGAGTAGTGACTGGTTATGGTGGTGTAGCCATCAGAATATGGTAAAGTAGCTACCACATAATAGTTCAGTTTCTACCACATGTCGATGAAGTAGCTAACAGATGATGATGATTGTATAGCTAATAGGTGATGGTGAACTAGCTGCTGCTGATGATGTTCTTTTTCGCTACAAACCTTCTTTCTATTGACCTTTCATTCCTTTCCACTACAAGGCTGTTTAAAACCTTAGTTTACAAACAGCGAATAAGTTAAAATTGAACTTTAATTTGCTAATAGCTTTCATAAAGAAAGTGCTTAATCAAACAACTTCAAACTCGTTATATGTAACATGACCAACAGCTTGTACCAAGATTCCTATTTCTTAACCAAATTAAATCTTGTCAGAATTGTAATTAAAATCTTCTTAGGGTTATAATTAATTTTTTTAAAATAATTTAATATCTAAAATAGTCTTGGTATTACTTTTATACCTGTCGATTTAATATTTAGGATTATTACAATCTTGATATTCAGGACAGTACATGTACGCTGGTATCTTAGGATAATACATGTAACTTGGATATTCAGAACTAAACATGCCGACTTGGGTTTTATGATAATGTTAAGAAAGATAAAAATGGCATTAATAGATGACTTTTGGTAGATCATATTAGTATTAGAGTTTTTATAATAGAGGCTGAAGATAATGCCCCACATACTGATAGCCCGTGTAGAGGGGTTCTCAAACTTCTTGTCTCTTGAGGTTAATTTTCAGATGGTATCTGACGTGAACTTGTCTAGAAGAAGAAAAAATAAGACAAGTTAAACATGAAATCACCTGTCAAATCAATCTCTTAATTTAGTGACCCGCGTCCCAGTATTTTAACCGCTAAACAAAAGATAATTGTTATAGTTCGAATACGGGTCAATAGAATGTCCATAAGTCAACACAGCTCTGATGGGTACCTAACTCACGTTGGGGGAAACAAAGTCGGCTGGGTATAGCGCTTGGCACACTATTCTTTCATCTGGAATAGATTAACTCTACTTTACCTAACCCCTGTGTCTTGCACACGAACAGGGAAAGATGATGATGAAACTTCTCTAAGTGTAACTGTTTTGTGGGGCACCCCGTCAAAAGAGCGCACAACAAAAGAGCGCCGACATAAGAGCGCCGACATAAGAGCGCAATAATTTCCCGACAAAAGAGCGCCGACATAAGAGCGCAAACTAAAAATCGAAAAACCATATTTAATAAATAAAAAAAGAAAATTAACTTAGATCAGAAGGCATCGTTTGATGTTAACTCTTTATTGTTTCATTAAATAACTAATTGTTCAGTTTCTTTAACTAAAAAACTGGTACAATCAACGTGAAGTCCAATTATTCAAAACTCAATCTAATAACACATACAAAGATTTTAAATGTTAGGCCTAAAGTGAGAATATAAACTGAAATGAAATGTAACAAAATAAAAATAAGTTCCATCAGCATTTGCTCTGTCCTGTCTATATCTGTAGCCTTCGACCAATATAATAACCTTCCCTTTCTGTGATTCGATCTTCTCCATGTTACTTGGATTAGAAATATTGTCAAACTGCATTCATAACATATTAACCATAATATATAAATAAAGACGTGTTAACCATGTCCTATTCGTTTAGCGTACAACATGTGTTTTTTTAATTGACTGCGCTCTTATGTCGGCGCTCTTTTGTCTGCGCTCTTATGTCGGCGCTCTTATGTCGGCGCTCTTTTGTCGTGCGCTCTTTTGACGGGTCACCGTTTTGTGGAGATAGCAACAGTGTGAATGTCATACGTTTCAAAATGCCTACAGATTTCTGACATAAAAACGAATACACGAAAATTAAAAAGCTAATTTAATAACGTATAAACCAAAACTAAAATAAATGACTATTTTACAAACCAGACTATCGTTCGTGAAATGTTGTGGGCACCTATCTATATGCCTAACATATCGTTTTAAATCATAATTTACCATAACTGAAACACAAGGAATGGATATATTAATGATAGTCGAAAGAAAATTTTAACTTCATTTTCTGTAATTAAAATTCGCAACCAACTATAACATCAAAAATTGTCAACCAACTATAACATAAAAAATTGGCAACCAACTATAGCATCAAACATAGGCAAACAACTATTATGCGACATCAAACATAGGCAACCAGTCATTATATCATTATAGGGGTAATTCGGAGCTTGCGGTCGTGATGTACGATTTGATAATTTGAAAACTAAATGGTGTTTCTATCAGGGAAAAACTTTACTCTAATAAATAGCATTTAACTTATTTTTATTACAATGTGTAATTTTTTTTATAAACCGCTTTTATTATTTTACTACGATACTGGTGGTTTAAGCTAGATTGATAGTTATTGCGGCCTTAATGATATCTCGTCATAATTATATAGCCTACCGAATGATTTCTGCGAGTTGTTTTTTTTTTTTAATTTAAAATTATAGATTTATTTATTATAGATTTAGATTTGTGTGCAATTTTAAATTTTGTAATAAATATGTCTATTTACTGCATCGGTGTATGTTTTGAATATCTTCGCACGAAAGTGACGTATACAATATAATAAACATATTGTTAATATAGTTAAGAAGGGGATACATACAGGTAACATAACTTAAAGTGTGACTCATCTAGTGCGTGGCGGGACTGAAGTTTGTTAAATAAAGATGTTAGATTTGTAACAGTTGAGTTCATACTGATTCTAAATTAGCAGGACTGATAGATTGTTTTATGTGCAAACATTCTATAATATACAGTATTAGTCAACACAATACCATATTCAATGCACTCGCTGATTAAGAGACTTAAAATTAAGAGACATAAAAGATTTTGTTAAAAACCCGGCTGTGCAATGGTAGTTATGTTGTTTTTGTCGTTTCAAAACACCTATTTCGGCTGGGCATTGATCTGACCACACTATCTCTTCATTTATTGAAAAGACAGAAAACAGGTGGACTCATTCACTTGCCCCTTGTCCCGCCAAGTCCCGATAGGCAAATTTATCATTCGCATATAAAAAAACAAAATTAAAAAAAAATAGCCAATTCCAAAGCTAAACAAAGATTTCTATAAAATAATTAAGGCCTGAAATAATTTAGTATAGAAATTTGTTATTGGAATAAATCTAGATAGAGCTTGAGTCTGTATCTAGAATCTACGGCTGTTTATCTTAAGTCTAGTTTTTTCCGTAGCTCTACTAGATCTAGATCTAGAGCATGTGTTCCCAAAATGTGGTTCGCGAACACCTGGGGGTTGTGAAGGGCTGTCTGGGGTGTCGCCAGGTGGTAGACTAAACCGTAACAATTTTAAAAAAATATTTAGAAAAATATTTGAAATTCGGCTTTATTAAAATAAACAATGTGTGCTGTGCAAAGTTGTTCTCAGTCAGTCTATGAAACCTTCAAAACTGAAACGACTTTTTGAGACGAGTCATTCGGAACACACCAAAAAAGAGGTGGAGTTCTCTCGGCGGCATCAAGCTAGTTTAGTTGCAAACGTTAGAGACTTGGTCGAACAGGAAGTTTTCACCAAGAAAACACAGCATTAGTGCAAGCATTATATGAAGTCGCATTAGAAGTTGACAAGCAAAAATAAAACCTCACACAATAGGAGAAAATCTCATCAAACACTGTATGATGTAGATCGTTAAATTGCTTTTGGGGATTACAGTGCAGTAAAAATCTTATTTAAGTGCATATACAAGACTGTTGTTAAGGCGGAAGTATCACTTTGATTAAAGGAGAGAACTAGTAGATACACACATGTCAATTTTTTCAATGGTAGTAACTTTTCTTCCGATATAATACAATTTACAATTTGTGAAGTCTTCAGCAAATGATTTCAGCAATGACTTTTCTAAAAATTAATCTTTTCATCTTTTCATACATTTCTAAACAATTTTTCGAAGCCATAAGTAAAGTACTTAAAATATGGTATACAGCTTTTTGGCATATTTTAGAACTATTTCTCCTTTTTCTGGGTGATACTGCCGACATAAAAAAGGTTTATTTTTGTTTATTGTTCAAGTTGATTATCTTGGCTTTGGAAAACTAAATATACTTAAAAGATCAACTAGATCTATTTAACGCTGTTTGTTTAATATAATTTCTTCTCTAAGTGACTGTTTCAATTTTATAATGTTCGATTATTTAGCCTTTTAAACAAAAAATTTTAACAGAAGAAATGCCGCTTTGGAATGGTTCGATTTTTGAAGACTCCTCTGAATCAACATCATACAACATTTCCTTATGGAATGCGTCTACTATTTCAACATCGCAATCATCAGATATAAAGGATATCATTAAATGGTATACTACAGTTATCATCAACCCATTTATCGGAGTTTTTGGAATCTTTGGCAACGTTTTAAGCTGTATAGTCCTCAAGAAAAGAGGGTTGCATAAATCATCTGACATTCTTCTTTTCACTTTGTCTATTGTTGATACCCTCGTATTGACCGGTACGTTGGAAGTGTACGCGATATTGTTGCAGCTCAGAATTAAATTTCCTTCCGTGAGTCAAGTTCTAGACGTGGACTGCTCTTATCAACTACCTGTAGAAATATTGTTGTATTTCCGTATAATCCTTGAAGGAGTAGTTAACTTTGCAATAGAAATGAGTGGCTTGATTTGTGTTTACATAACTTTAGAACGATTTATTGCGATTTTCTTTCCTCTAAAATTTCGCCAGATTGTCACCAATAGACGTGTGTGGGTTGTCCTGGCAGTCTCAACAGTGACTCTCGCAGTTTTTTCTGTTATCGCCGTTAGGAATCTAGTAATCTTAATAATTTATGATGACAATAAAACTACTTGTCATCTGAAATTAAGGCGCATCAGTAACGACGAGGATCAAATTATAGATAACACCCTCACCATCTTGACCAGCCCAATAGCTTTGATAATTATTGCAGCAAGTACCGTTGCTATTGGCTTGAAACTGGCCGTCGTAAGAAGAAACAGAACCACAATGACAACAACAGCTAATATCTCTAGATCATCTCTCAAAACCACTAAGACTTTAGTGGCTGTATGTGGACTCTTTGCACTCACCCAAATCAAGAGAATGCCATACACAGTAAACGTGGATTGGAGCGCAGATATCTTGGATATTTACTTAAGGATCAATGTGACTCTGGATTACTTAAACAGTGGCCTCAACTGGCTTGTCTACATTACACTGAACGATCAGTTTAAAAAGATGATGGTCGACATGTTGTGCTGTTCTACACATTCTTAACTATTTTTTAATATTTACTATTCCACTCGTCTTTATCACGTTTTAGCCAAAATAACAAAATAGTGGCAAAAAATACAATCATCATCTTCTTTCACTACCCTTGTATTTCTGTACTTTTTCACCAACTGTTCAAACAATATCTGGGCTTATTTGTGTTACTTGGTTATTTATTTTTCTCTTCCTCCATATAAGAAGTAATTAAATCATTATACACAAATCGTATTGATTGACCTAGCCACTACACCCATTTTCTCTCACCACCCCCCTCCAACAACCAAAATTGCTAACGATGTAGAAGTGATTCTTCTAATCCAGGGTAGCCCTCAGGTTTGTGTCTTAAATTCGGTTCTCCTTACAGTAGAAAAATCTAAACAACACTTTTGTTTTTGTCTGCATTGGCGCATTTCTTCGCAAAAATTATCTACATATAATACAAAGCAAATCAACTTCTAAATAATTGCCCAAAATGGATCAAGAGATCCTGATGTTGAGATGTTGTTTGAGCATAAACCAAGCACTAATAGAAATTGAAATCGTAACGCAAAACACTATAATTTAGCTAAAATAATAATTCTACTTATTAATGAAAATGAAAACTAGCACTAAAAAAGAAACCACCCCCTCTAAATGTTGTATTTAAAAAAAAAACCACTTTTGACCATAGAAACATTAAACAAATGAAAAGTATTTGTTTACAGTAAATCACTTATTATAAGTTTGTGTTTTTTATGTATTTTTTCATTAGGTTTTGAAACTCATTAATTTTTATTGTATTAACTATTCATACAAATAATAAGTAATTGCAATTACATTAAATTTTATCAACTGTAGCTTAATTTTTTAAATATTATATTTTCTCGTCTGATTATGTAATTTTTGACAATGATTTTTTTGCTTGATGACAATACACCTGTAGTAGTTTTTTAAAATATAGATCTAATTTACTTTTTCTTCTACACTGATTAGTTTTCGTCTATAACTATGTTTTTACCTTTACTGTCAACGTTAGAAATTTTACACCATCAGTTGTATTTTTTTCAACTCTTTTAAGCTCAATGTTTTTTCAGAAACATTGAAACCTCTACTTATTTTCAGAATTATGAATTACTGTGTTCTGAAATATAAAACCATTTTTTTCACCATATTGTTACATTATGTCTTGTTACTGATTGTTACGTCCCTTGTATTACGTATATCATGGTTACGTCCCTTGGGTGTTTACTTTGTCTTGCGTGATGTGTTGTTCATGTGTACATGAAATCAGTTAACGAAGGTAGAGTCAGAGACAGGACGTGTCGTCTGAGCTGTCTGTGTATAAGAATAAAGTACTAGAGTTAACTCAAAGAGCAGTGTCTGTTTAAGTAATGTAACACACATAATCTTATATTATCATAAAAGCATTTACAAAAGTGAAATTATGTTTTCTAATATAAACAATAGGCCTACAGTGTTTGTCCAATTTTATGCCTTATTTTATTTTTATTGGTAAATAATAAAATAAATGAGCGCAATAAAGAGTGTTTCATGGTTAATAAGGGGGTAAGCGCCAGTAAAACAAACAAATTTTGAATACTCGTTAGGAAACAATTATTTCACTTTAACTTTTTAAACGTACATCTGAATATGTGATTTTGTCCGTTACAAATACTCGTTTTAATGAGCAAAATTTCCCAAAACTTATTGTCTTTAACAGACTCAAATTTTAAAAAATTCACAATAAATTAGTTTGAAGATACGCACTTACAATTTTTAGCTGAGTACCCCGAAATATGGAAGACGATTATAAATTCATTGTTAATTGGGGGTAAATATATTACGAAGGGGTTCCTTTTTCAAGATGGTCGCCGTTGTTATAGTTACCAAGATTGTTCCACCAATTTTAAAATTCTATTCTTTGTGATGTGACATACTACATGAGACAAAATATTTAAAATATTGAATTTTATACTTTGTGATGTGACACACTACATGAGACCAATTTTTTAAAGTATTGAACTTTATTCTTTGTGATGTGACACATTACATGAGACCAAATTTTTAAAATATTGAACTTTATTCTTTGTGATGTGACACACTACATGAGACCAAATTTTTAAAATATTCAGCTTTATGTTTTGTAAGGAAGTAACGCCGATAGCCACAAATTCGTGTCGTTTCTATAACGCACTTAATATTTTTTTTTTAAATGGCTGCTCTAATCTGTTGCAGTATTTTTAAATTTTTTGATACTTTAAAAAAATAGTCTTCATTAAAATAGTTAAGTTTAATATTCACCGTTTGATTCAGATCAAGTGGTTGATCAGTTTGTGAATGTGTAGTCTATGAGAATCTTTTTCTACAGCTTACTTCGATCTCCACTTGGTAAATCCTAACGCGACTGAGACAAATTATTTTATTATCTATTCTCAAGCTGGGAGCCGGACGTTTTCCCGAAAGACACTTGCCCGAATGCCGTTTGCCCGAAGGCCGATTTCCCGAATGGACACTTGCCCGAATGCGACAAATGCCCGCATGGCCACTTGCCCGAATGCGACAAACGCCCGAATGGACACTTGCCCGAATGCGACAAATGCCCGAATGGACACTTGCCCGAATGCGACAAATGCCCGCATGGCCACTTGCCCGAATGCGACAAATGCCCGAATGGACACTTGCCCGAATGCGACAAATGCCCGAATGCCACTTGCTCGAAGGCCGTTTGCCCGAAAAATGTTAACATTATATATTACTAAATAATCATTCGTAATCAATTTAAATTTAAAATGTTGGTAAACAAAACACATCTACGCAAAAAGAAAGTGAAAAAATTATATATATATTACCACGCAGACATTTTAAATTAATTTGTATTTGATATTTAAAAAGTGTAGGAACATACTTTCTCTTCCATATATGAAATTAGACAAAAATACAATTTTCATTCATCACCGGATTTTAAAATGAGGTTTGCTTTCTTTATTAAGTAATCGCTTCAACGCCTTGTCTTAACAAGGCGCATTAAATGGAGATCAAACATATTTGACTACGTTTAGTTTTTAAATTTGCCACCTAGAGCTCGCCTCATTCTTTTGTTAAATGATAACCACACAAGGTAAGCATAATTAGATAAACAAACGCGCCTCTGTTCAATGTTGCGAGACGCCGCGCCGCCTACGCCGTGTCATAAAAGCTATATAACCACTGCAACACGTCGGCTAAACAAGGTGTTCAAAACATTCATCAAAAGAATGTTAGAACACATCCGCTAACATCACCTTACATTTATTAAAGAATAAAGTTTTTCTTACAGCGCTTTCTCAGTTTTGAAAAAAAATAAAAGCTAAATTTAAAAATATAAACAACTTTGTTTTATGCTTAGAATTGTGTCCCGAAAGACACTTGCCCGAATGCCGTTTGCCCGAAGGCCGATTTCCCGAATGGACACTTGCCCGAATGCGACAAATGCCCGAATGGACACTTGCCCGAATGCGACAAATGCCCGAATGGACACTTGCCCGAATGCGACAAACGCCCGAATGGACACTTGCCCGAATGCGACAAATGCCCGAATGGACACTTGCCCGAATGCGACAAATGCCCGAATGGACACTTGCCCGAATGCGACAAATGCCCGAATGGACACTTTCCCGAATGGGACAAATGAAACAAAGCTTTGTATGTGTAATGGTTTCTCGCGTTATGTTTATTTACTTTTTCTTCTACACTGATTGGTTTTCGTCTATAACTATGTTTTTACCTTTACTGTCAACGTTAGAAATTTTACACCATCAGTTGTATTTTTTTCAACTCTTTTAAGCTCAATGTTTTTTCAGAAATTTCAGTTTTAAAATTGTACAACAAATTTTAGGTTAATAATTGAAACTTTGCAAAGAAGTGTACACTATTAGACACTGTTTAGTACGCTTTATACTAAGCTGAAATAATGCGTCATGGTTTTGTCTGTCAGTATGAAGAATGTACTAATTCCATCCCCTTTATCCCCCTCATCCCCTTCTCGCCATTCAACCAATGACCGGTTTATAATCTTGTTACGGCATGCTGTGATTGGCTTGAACGCGTTCATCAGACTTTAAATCGGACTGTAAACGACACATGAGTTAATGTGTATGCCCTTTGGTCCATGTAGGGTTTGCTAGCAACTAATGTAAATACTAGATGGGATAGCTGATAAGCATTCACTTAGGCCTTATACGGAAACAGTGCTTGACCTTATCTACACTGATGTGTTATTCACGGTTCAATAAACATCAGTACAATAAACATATCTCATTGAATTTTCCCTCACTATCCAGCGGTGGGGAGGTGTGGGATGCGAGCGTGTCTAGCCTCAAGCGCTGTACCCAGGATTGTGTAGCAGGCTATTATCAAAAGGCAATTAACTTGTGTAAGCTACAATTTAAGTAGGGATAGACCGGCTAACAAACAAAACTTAATCTGGTTTGATGATAGTTGTTCTGAGAATAACACTCGATTGATAAGATGTGTAATCTATAATAATAGTTTCGCTGTCCGTCTATTTATCTATATATCTATGTATCTATATATCTATGATGGTGCATTAGATATCACAAGATAGTGGAGTAGCTAATAGATGATGGTAGGGTAGCTACCGGATGATGGTGGAGTAGCTAACACATGATGGTGGAGTTGCTAACACATGATGGTGGAGTAGCTACCACTTGATAGTGGAGTGCCTAAAAGATGAAGTGCAGTAGCGTGGAGTAGTGCATTGTTGTGTTGGTGTAGACATCAGGGGATGTTGAAGTAGCTACAACATAATGGTTGAGTAGCTACCACATGACGAAGAAGCAGCTAACAGATGATGTAGCTAATAGGTGATGGTGAACTAACTGCCGCTTGATGATGTTCCTGCTTGCTACAAACCTTCTTCCTATTGATCTTTCATTCCTTTTCACTCTAAGGCTGTTTAAAACCTTAGTTTACAAACAGCTAAAATTAAACTGTAATTTACTAATAATGTAATAACTTTCATAGGGAAA